AATCACAATCACAATCACAATCACAATCACAATCACAATCACAATCACAATCACAATCACAATCATATACATATACATTAGTATAGTATAGTATAGGCCCGGCGTCCTCCACATGAATGCCTGTGGCGCACCCGCACCCGCGCACAACGCATGCATGCATCTTACCATCCAGCGATGCCTCCGTGATGCTCCAGCTTCTTGGCGGAGCATCAGACACATGCTGTATGCACCATGCATGTGCGTGGAAGCACCGAAGGGTTTAAAGACAGGTAAGGAGAGTGGGCAGGCAAGTGGCTCTCCAGAGCACCGGAACGGTACCTGATGATCCGGGCAGGCTTCAGTACACCCATACCAGGGTGTTCCGCCTGCAACCCACCACTGTATAATGTAGTATAGTTGTCAGGCCTGCAGCCGGTTCCTTTTAGGATCTTTGGCCTGCCACACTCTCTCTTTCTTTACGATGAAGTTTCATTAGTGGAGAATTGGGAGGGGGGAAAGTAAGGTGAAGAATATGTTGTTTTCAAAATAAAAAATTCCTTTCTAGAAATTGAGTCATTCTTTGTCGCTGCACCTCTGCATTTGACAGGAAGTGGATGGGTGGAAATGCCAGCCTGGCAGTGGAAGATTGGACCGTGTGATGAACTTGTGGGTGTGGGGACAAGATCATGAACTTTCAACTGGGTGGAAACCCCAGGAAGCTTTCAGATTCGGGTTTTCACACATGTCTCTCTTAATAAATTGGAGTTTTGAGGAAAGCTCTGCCTTGGACTCTGATTTAATTTTAGATGATATTTGGAATGCTGATAATAGTATAGTATTCTTTATATTTATTAGGAATACACAGGTCATAAATTAACCTAAGATCAAATTATTAGATTTGATTTACTAGGAATAGATTTATTGGGTATATACATTTCATATATTTGTAGACAGTGGTGGGTTCCTGACCTGATTTACTACAGGTTCGCCAAGAGGGCCTTTTGTCCTCTTTCCCTGTCTCTTCCTTACTCAGCCGAAGCTTTAGGATTAAATTAAAAAAATTAACTTCTCAATTTCTTGCCTGATATAAAATGTCCCCCCTCACTTCTCAGGATTTCAGCCAATACTTTCTCCCAAAAGTCTTCCTGCCAAAACCTGACAGAACCCTCTTCTCTCCTTTCCCTCTTCCTCCCTCAGCTGAAACTTCAGGATTAAACTAAAAATTTTAACTTCTCACTTTCTAACCTTGCTTGATATAAAATGTCCCCCCTCACTTCTCAGGATTTCAGCCAATACTTTCTCCCAAAAGTCTTCCTGCCAAAACCTGACAGAACCCTCTTCTCTCCTTTCCCTCTTCCTCCCTCAGCTGAAACTTCAGGATTAAACTAAAAATTTTAACTTCTCACTTTCTAACCTTGCTTGATATAAAATGTCCCCCCTCACTTCTCAGG